ATTCTTCCAGGTGGGTGTTCCTTGGATCTGGCTACTGTGCTCCACTTCTTTCTGCTGCAGCTGTTAGAGTTGAACCCTTTGTGTCTCTCTGGGAAGATGTTCTGCTCCTGAATCAGCTGGGTGGGTCTTGCCTCTAGCCTCCTTGCAGGGAGTTCTGCTGAAGGGTTCCCTGCTGGACCTGCAGCCTGGGTCAAATGAGGATCCACCGGCCCGGGTCGTCTCACTCACTGGCTGGTCCTGCGCTCTGGGTCTGTTCAGGATCCCGTGGCCTCGGTCGTCTCACTCACTCGCCGGGCCTGCGCTCTGGGTCATTTGTCACTTCTTATAATTGCACATTTAATCATTTCTGAAATTGGGTTGTGTTTATAATTCATAGGAGTTCATAGTTCAATCAGCAGATTCTTGTTTCTTGCTGCAGTGTGATAGTTGGAGGTTTACTTTGTAGCAGGCACTGTTGTACTTTACAGAATTAACTAACTGTTCACAGAACAACTTGCAGTGTTGGTACTGTTGTTACTCCACCATATAGATGGTGACCCGAGACCTGAGAGAATAAGTAACTTGCCTTTGATCACTAGTGCTAAGTGGCAGAGCTAGGATTTGAACCCAGGCATTACATATAACCGCCAGCCTAGGTGCCTACACCCAGGCAAGTGCAAGAGTGAGTTGCGTTGGCTGCAAGAAGGCTCTTGGAAGGGTCTTGAGAGCTGGACCTGGACAAGAGATAGACTTCGGTCGACCAGATGCAGTACTGAAAGCTCTGCTCTGTGCTTTAGCTGGAGCAGATCGGGGACGACTCCAAGCAAGCCCTGCAGCAGCTCCAGACCCAGCTGGAAGATTACAAAGAAAAGGCCCGGCGGGAGGTGGCAGATGCTCAGCGCCAGGCTAAAGATTGGGCCAGTGAGGCTGAGAAGACCTCTGGGGGGCTGAGCCGCCTTCAGGATGAGGTAGGAGCCATAGGGGCAAGAGGGTGAGATCCATCCCCTGTCTTTGGGTTTGAAGATCTTTCTTCCTAACTTGGCCCAGGTTTGGGCATAGCCACGTGCAGTGACATAGTAAAGTGGAAGAGGGTAGGGGAGTGGTCTGCCTCAGCTGCAGACACAGAGGGTCTACTACCTGTAGGGCAATAGTTTTGCAACTCTGTTGCATATTAGAGTTACCTGGGGAGATGATGTTTTAGATCCCAAAGCCTAAGATGTATCATCATAATCATAATCTTTAAGAATAGGATCCAGGATCAATAGTTTTTTTTAAAATCCTCAAATAGAGCCCGGGAGATGGCTCAGTAGAATAAGCGCTTGCCTGGCAAGTGCAAGGGCCTAAGTTCAATCCCCAGTTCCGCAAAAAAATAAATAAATGAAATAAAATCCACAGATAGGCACAGTAGCATGTTCCTGTGGCTCAGCTGCTCAGAAAGCTTAGGCAGAAGAATCTCTTGAACCCAAGAGTTTAAGGACAGCCTGGGCAACACAGCAAGACCCCATCTCAAAAACGAAAAATACCCGGCATGTTATACTGGCCCTTTCCCTGGGGCATGCTGAGACAGCAATTAAGACTGGGCATGGTGGCACGTGCCTGTAACCCCAGCTCTTGGGAGGCTGAAAACAGGATAACTATGAGTCCAATCTGTGTAGGGAGACCCTATAAATCCTGTATTAAATACATAAAAAAAAAAAAAAGACACACACATACATGCACATACCTCAAGTTACTTCAATTTGTGTAGAGAAGTTTAACTTTAAAAGACTTAAAAGTCAGTCTGCTTTATGTTACTACCCTGTGCTGGCTTTTTTTGTTTGTTTGTTTTTAATGGAGACAGTCTTGCTATGTAGCCCAGGTTGGCCTTTTGAGGTGGTCCTCCTGCCTCAGCCTCCCAAATGCTGGCATTACAGGTGTATGCTGACACTCTCAGTGCTGGCTAGTTCTAGGTTCTGAGTGATGAAGTGTTTCTCCCCTTAAGTCCACCTCACACTGCACTGAACTCGTCCTTTTTCCTCTGGCAGACCCAGAGGCTACGGCAGGCCCTACAGGCTTCCCAGGCTGAGCGAGACACAGCCCAGCTGGACAAAGAGCTGCTGGCCCAGCGACTACAGGGACTGGAGCAAGAGGCAGAGAACAAGAAGCGCTCTCAGGATGACAGGACCAGACAACTGAAGAGCCTTGAGGTCAGGACATGTCAGGGATCGAAGGCTGAGGAGAGGGCTTGGGTCCTGGCACAGGCCAGCATGCTGTGGGGAAAGTGGCAGGGTGCTCCAAGTAGCTCTCCTCTTTCTTTCAGGATTGAATCCAGGGGCTTCATATTGGGCTACATCCTGAGCCCTTTTTTATTTTTTGAGACAGGGTTTTGCTAAATGACTAAATAAGTTCCCTGGACTGGGCTTGAACTTGCATTCCTTCTAACTCAGCCTCCTAGAGTGCTGGGATTGTGGCCATGTACCAGTCCAAGCCCAAGTATATTTCTGTGCCACAGATTGAGACTGGCACCTCACAGCTAATGGGTTTTGTTGGGCTTTGTTGTTTTAAGCAACTTTGAATCAAATGCCAGTGTTTAGAAATGTGTAGATGTCACATAAAAATTGGGATTTCTAGCTTCTGTTATACAGTAAGTCACTGACTTACAAATGAGTTCCATTCTTGGAGAATTGTGTGTAAGTTGGATTTGTTTGTAAGTCATTCAAAAGCCTAGCTATAACCCTCAGCTAACAAAGTGAGTCTTGTACAGTATACCTGTGAAATTTTGTAGCTCAAAAGGTTGTAAGTCAGGGACTCATCACAGTATTTAGAAAATGGAATACTGGGCTTCTATACCTGAATTCTACATGACAGCAGTTAATTGGAGCCGGCTACTGATGTTCCCCATTCAGAGTGAACGGGAGGGCTGTATTGCTCAGTGGTAGAGCATTTAACTGCAGAGCGAGCAGTGGTCTTCACTTCGCTATATTTGAGAATAATAACAACATAGTATGCTGTGCCAGGTATTTAAGTTTCATTTCACTCTCAGAATAACCCTGGGATAGATCGTCTTGTTTTCTTCTGTTTTTTGAGACAGGTCTCACTATGTAGTTCAGGCAGCCCTTGAATTTACTGTGTAGCCCAGGCTGGCCTCCAGCTCCCTGAAATCCTCCAGCCTCAGCCTCCTACGTGCTAGGATTACTTAGAGCTGTGTGCCACCACACCCAGCCATCTCCATTTTTCAGATGTGCCTCAGGGGAAGGCAGAGGCACAGAGAGATCAAGCAATTTGCCTGTGAGTCTGCTGCTAGGGAGTAGTAGACCTGATTTTCAAACCCAGGCAGTCTGTCCTGTGTTAGTTTCTTTCTCATCCCTGAGATGCAACACCCACAGTACCAGTTTAAAGGAGGAAAGGTTTCTTGTGGCCTGCAGTTCTGTAGAGGTTTCAGTCCCTAGTGGGGTGACTCCAAGCAGGGAAGCATGCTGGGGAGGCAGGGAGAGGAAAGGAGCTCTTGGCATGGCAGATAGGAAGCAGAGAGACTCAAGCAGGGAGAGAGGGACAGACTCTTCCAGCCCACATCCCCAGTGACCGTCTCCTCTAGCCAGGCTTCGCCTCCCAGCACACAGGCAGACTAATCCAGTGATGAGGGTCACACCCCGCATTCATTGACCTCCCTAAAGCTGCCTGCAAGTGCATGAAGCTTTACAGGAACATCTAGATAGAAACCATGACAGGTCCCCAGTCCATCCTCACAACCTCTAGCTGGTACCATAGATCAGTTCACTTCCCCAGTCTGTACTCTGGGTTTTCAGTTTCAGAGTCTCCTTCTCCTCCTTAGCCCTGTACTTTGGTTTTCCTCTTAAGGAATCACTTCTCCAGCGAGCAATGGCTGCTGGGCTTTGCCTTCCTGCCCTACCCAGAGCATGTCCTGCCCCTTCTCCTGATACCACACATGATCAGCAGAGGGCGCTAGCTCCTTGGTAGTTCTGGGCTGGGACAAGGACAAAGAATCCTGGAGGTGTAAGAGAGAAAGGTCTGTGGAGACTGGAGGTTGAGAGAGTCTTGATCAGAGTTTGGCGTTCCAGTGTTTGGGCAGCATTGACTGTTGTTATGCTTTAGGAAAAGGTGTCCCGGCTGGAAACTGAATTAGATGAAGAGAAGAGCACAGTGGAGCTGCTAACAGAACGGGTGAATCGTGGCCGGGACCAGGTAACTTTACCTTTACCATTCATCACGCCTATGCCCAACCCCGCATGACCGTTCAGCCTTCTCAAGAACAGTTCTGCCCTCCCATGCTTCACTAATCTGGGGCATTCTGACTGAAGATTTTGTCTGCTTTGGGAAGGGTTGAATTTTTTTTTTTTTTTTTTTTTTTTTTATGGAACCGGGGATTGAACTCAGTTCCTTGCGCTTGCCAGGCAAGCGCTTGCCAGGCAAGTGCTTATTCTACTGAGCCATCTCCCTGGCCCCAGAAGCCAAGAACTTGAATGAAGGAAGAACTTGTAGACTGGGCTACCCTTCCCTGAGTGGGGACTGCTTTGGTATAGGAGGGATGCTGATTCCTGGTGGGGAGAAAGAACCCTTCTGTCAGTTTTGTGGGTCCCTTCTTTTGAACATCCTATGATTTCTTTACTGCCTGGGACTCTGGGAGTTTTGGGGTTCAGAGGCCATGCTCCAGGGCTCTGCCCAGATGGATCAACCTGCTGGCTCAGCGGTGGCCCTCCCCAAGTATGTGCTTCTCATATGTCCCTGCTAGGTGGACCAGTTGAGGACTGAGCTCATGCAGGAAAGATCTGCTCGGCAGGACTTGGAGTGCGACAAAATCTCCTTGGAGAGACAGGTAAAAGGAGGGGGTCTTAGAGAGAGACCCCAGGAGTTTGTAGGATGACCGACTGGACTGCTAACCATGGAGCTTCCTGTTCCTCTCAGAACAAAGAGCTGAAGACCCGGTTGGCTAGCTCAGAAGGCTTCCAGAAGCCCAGTGCCAGCCTCTCTCAGCTTGAGTCTCAGAATCAGTTATTGCAGGAGCGTCTACAAGCTGAAGAAAGGTGACATGAGTTTGCCCTACCTCTGCTTTAGTTTGTTCCTCTCAGGTTCCCTCAACTTCCCACATCAGATCTGTCTAACCTGCCCTGATCTCCAGGGATTCTTTGATCTTTTCTTTTCTTTTTTTTTTTTTTCTTTTTTTAGACAAGGTCTCTCATCTGTTTAGGCTTTGAGAGACAAGGTCTCTCTATGTAGTTCAGGCTGGCATTGAGTTCACTTTGTAGCCCAGGCTGCTCTTGAACTTGCAATGATCTTCCTGCCTCAGCCTTCTGAGTTCTGGGATTACAGGCATGTGCTACTGCACCCAGCTTGTTTTTGGTATTTTTTAGACAGGGTCTCTCTGTGTTGTTCAGACTGGCCTTAAACTCATCATGTTATCCATGCTGGCTTCAAACTCAGAATGATCCTCCTGCCTTTTGTTTGCATGCTGGGATTATAGGCATGCACCATCATATCCAGCCCTTGCTCCTGAGATAGAACAGTGAGAGCTGCAGAAATCCTGAGACATGAATGACCTCTGTCTCCTTTCTTCTTTGGCTCTTCCTTGATTCTGCCCAGGATAATGGGGGGGTGGGGTGCCTTATGAACAGAGAGTGGTCCTTGGAGGTAGTAAGGGAGCAAATACCGGTTTCCCAAGAAATGGTAACAGCCGGAGACACCCCTGTACCTTACCCTCCTAGAGAGAAAACAGTTTTGCAGTCTACCAACCGAAAATTGGAGCGCAAAGTTAAAGAACTGTCCATCCAGATTGATGATGAGCGACAGCATGTTAATGACCAGAAAGACCAGGTGAGGACACACGCTCCAGGGGCCATGCTGTATTGGTGCAAGTGTATATTATGTTTGCTGGAAGGCCAACGCAGGTGTCCATCTCCCCTCGAACTTCCAAACAGACTGTTACTTATAGAAGGCCAGTGAGATCAGATTGAAGGACCAGAGCAGTCATAGGTAGAGTGTGTATCAAGTACTAGTTTCTTATACTTCTCAGTTTTGGGGGGGACAGCGTCTTCTTTATGTAGCCTATGCTGGCCTTGAACTCAGTTTTTTGCATCAGCCTCCTGTGCGCTGGGATTATAGCATGTGCGACCGTGCCCAGCTTAGCTTTTCTTTCTAATTAATACCCGTATTAGTGCATTTAATCCCCAAGACAACCTTACGAGGCTAGGCCCATCATCATAACTCTTTTCCTGGGGCAATTATCCCTTGTCAAGATTGTTACAGGGGAGGTCCCGGTCCATAGTAGCAGATGCTTTTCTCATGTTGGGACTTGGTATTCTGCCCAGCTAAGCCTGAGGGTGAAGGCTTTGAAGCGGCAGGTAGATGAAGCGGAAGAAGAAATTGAGCGACTGGATGGCCTGAGGAAGAAGGCACAACGTGAGCTGGAGGAGCAACATGAGGTCAACGAGCAGCTCCAGGCCCGGATCAAATCCCTGGAGAAAGATGCCTGGTATGGGCTGCCCTTCGGCTCCTCCCTATTTAGGGGGCATAGAGCAGAAGGAAATTGTCTGTCCAAAGCTGGATAAGGAGGAGGCTCTCTCAGACAAGAGTGGGCAGTCACTCAGTCCTGCTGCGGTTAGTCTGGTTTTCTTAGTGTCTCAGCCCCCATCCTGTGCCCCATCTCCCTGGAGATCTTCTAAGTAGGTTTAGGCCCTAGAATTAGTTTCTTAATGGGAAATGGTGGCTCTCAATCTGTTCCTTCTCCCTGACCAGTGTTTTCTCTGACTCAGGCGCAAAACTTCCCGCTCGGTTGCTGAGTCAGCTCTCAAACATGAGGGGCTGAGTTCGGATGAAGAATTTGACAGCGTCTATGACCCCTCATCCATTGCATCGCTGCTTACGGAGAGCAACCTTCAGACCAGCTCCTGTTAGCTCCTAGTCTACAACCGTCCAGAAACAGGCTCAGGGCCTAGCCCAGCCAGCCCTGCTCTGCCTTGCTGCCCTGTCTGCCTTGAGTCCTCTTTCCTGTGGGTGACCCAGTTACTCAGACCCAAGACAGGCAGGGGTCTAAGTCACAGTGATAAAGAAGACAGTAAGAAGAAGCTGAAAGATGGACTTGGCATTCCCATCAGAGGAATGGGTGTCTTAGGCTGAGTCCTTCTTTGGGGTGCCGGCCCTTCTTTCATCTCCATGACATGAGGTGAAAAGAGTGTAAGGATGATCAGCATAGAGACTGAGGGGGGCTGAAAGGATCAGAAAGTATTCTATTGAAATTGCCATGTGTATAAAGCTTTATTTCTTTGGTCCTTAACCTTCTGGCTCAGGGAAATACCCAGTACTATTCTGCTCCCGGAATTCCTACAGCCTATTTTCCTCCCTTCTCTGAAGCAGGGTGCGGAAGCATAGGTAACAGACACGCAGGCGTGATTTTACCCATTTCTCAGATACCACTCTGTACAGTTATGGAGCTCCTGTGATAGTCCTTATACCCTTCTAGTCCTACATTTTTGTCTTCTCCAAGCTAGTGGGTCCAGGGGACCCATCATCCCCTCCTCTTCCATCTTTACCATTCCTAGCCTGCTTCTTTTCCTCTCAGTGCCTTAGCCAGGGTGAGGAGATAAGGATGCTCTTCTTACCTTTTATACCTACACATTCATACCTCTCCCTAAACCAGCCTTTCCCCAGTGGGGCCCTCAGCCTGCCCTGCTTCTCTAGGGACTGGTCAAGAGGGCCACCAGCTGTTCTTCTGAGGAGCCCTGGGAGAAGGACTTTGGTAGGGCTCTAAAGGTGGTGGGGATCTGGTTCTGCTCAGGGCTTCTGTCTGTCCTCTCCCTCTTCTGTGGCACTGGATATGATTATTAGGTGGCTGCACTGGGGGACCCTGACAACTGTCTATATTCTCTGAGGCCTTCCAGTGGTTTTGCTAGCCAGATCTCAACAGGGAACCTAGAGACTCATTTTCTCAGGACCTGGGCCCTATTGAGGGCTTCACCTGGGGTTAGGAGCTGATCTTGGTGGAGACAGAAAGGGTCAATGGAAAACGTACTCCTTTTCTGGATTTTGGGGAGACCCAAGCACTGCTGGTGGGGAAGAAGAATGGAATGATTCATTTGTCTTATTTCCAAAGCAGGTTCTGTGGAGAAGCTGGGGAAGAAGGCTGTTCTCACCAATGACTTGTAATTTTATGATTTTTTTAAAAAAAAGTCCTATATTCTGCAAATCAGATTCTCTCCCAATGCAATTCAGCCTTGGTTTTATTTTAAATTAAATATTAAAATTATATATCTATATTTAAATCCTTTCTCTCTTTTTTTTTTTTTTTTTTTTTTTTTTTTTTGCTTATTTGGTTTTATGAAGAAGTCATTTTCACTCTACAGCTTAGAGGCTCACCTGGAGTTGTGTCACCTTATTGAGGTCTTTTATTGCAGATCAGATGAGACCTAGAAAACCTGGGCATGTTTATAGCATCCCTATTCTTGCCTGAACAACCTTGGAATAGCAAGGCCCAAAACAAATTCTGTAGGCTTAGAGGGCAATAACCCAGAACAGGCTTTTATTCCCTTGGGTCACAGGAGTATCCCCAGCATTCACCTCCTAGACAGAAATCACCATCCATTCCTGACTGACAAGGGACCCCATTCCTACCTAGAGGGTGGGAAGTTTCTGCTGTCTGTCCTTGTTTTGGCTTGAAGAGACATCCCTCTACAAGAGCCTGTTGTCAGAACGGGTGCTGTGTTAAGAGTGCCTCCGACCTCCTCTAGCAATCCCTGTGGAAGACGGACCAGCCATCTGCCCAGAGCACTTGGGAAGAAGCTGTTCGGCCAACTCCTCTTTTAAACCCTCCAGATTCCAGCCTATTTTGCGGGTAGTAAATGCCATCTGAGAAGTCTGTAGGATTCCTTTTAAGGCAATGTGTCCCGCCTCTCCCTGCCATATAAGGATAGCTTTGGTATAATAGCTGTGCAAAACAAGCCCCACCCAGATCCTAGCTAGCTTTGACTTTGGCCTGGGCGTCTTGCCAGGGAAGGGCACCCGCCAGACTGGCTTAGGCTGGTCTGAGTGAGCTGGCCCTCGGTGCCTGCTTTTTTACTGAGAAGGAAAAGGTTTACTCAGCTCTACGAAGTCTACAGGCTTGCCGATGTATAGAAAGAGGAGAATGTATGGAAGTATATAGGGGCTCCAACTCTTCTGTAGAGGTGCGGGCAAAATGATTACTTCTGAATGAAACAAATCAAGAAGTGAAGACAAGACTAGTGAATATTCAGGTACAACCGCATACTCTTGATAAGACTACCAAGCCTCTCCGGGTCAATGCAAAGTCCCACCTTTATTTAAATCTAAGCGAGCATAGATGGGGCGTGTCCTGAAGTCAATAAGTCCCGTCCACGTTGCACTTTGGCCCTCATTGGGGAACAATGTTATAGGGCGTGGCTTATCTTTCAACCCCGCCCCTGACGCATTTATACAAGGGGCGGTCCCCACACGAGCCAGTGTAGTAGGAACCGGGCTGCTTGGCGGGTGGGGTGGGCAGTGTGCTAACTTCCCAGCGGGAAGAACATGAACGGGACGCGGAACTGGTGTACGCTCGTGGATTTACACCCAGAGGGCCAAACCACGGTAAGGAAAGCGCCCACATTGCCTTCCCTGCTTGGTAATCTGGGTCCCAGTAACACCCTGCGCCGAGTTCGCTGACATCACCTTGTGCAGTCAGCCCTTCGCTGCTCTTCTCTCGCTCGTTTTCCCTTGCCCTGCGGCAGGCAGTGGGAAGGAAGGTCAGGATGGAGTCTCTCGAGGCTGGAGGGCTGGGGACGTCCCTGCCCCTTGGGAGGACCTGAGGCTTCTGCCCGCGCGCGGCTCGCTGCTGTGAACTCCAGCTGGGCCGCGTGTGACCAACAGCCGTCAGAGAACACGCTGTGTTAGAACCTTGTGTCCCGCCGAACCTGAGGAAGCTTTCTTTGGGTCCTCATGACCACAGAGGCCCTTCAAAGAATTTTATGGTGCTTTGGTCAGTAATAACATGCGGTAGAGACTGAAAATTTCAGGGCTTGTGGCGGAGGGTTGAGGGCTGGAGGAGACGGTAGGTCCCTTGCCTTCTACTAAGAGGAATCGAGCTTTCCACCTGGTGGCTCCCCCGCTCCTTTTGCTTTGCAGGTCTGCTCCTCTCCACTTGTCGGCCATCAGATAGCTTCCCGGGATGGTTTGTTGGTTTTGCTTCGGTCTCCAGGCCCCAAACCCAGACCAAGGGGTTGAAGGGGCTGCAGAACCTGGGCCAAGGGGAGGGACGCGACGTGTTCGAGGGTATGAGGGTTTTGGACCCGGTAAGAGTTGATTGAAGAAAGAAGGCATAACCTAGACAGGCTATCAGCCCTGCTTCTCTTGTTCCCTGGTACTTAGTCCCTGTGTCCCAGGCTCCTACTGACCCCCGCCCCCACCCCCCACCTCACCCCCGCTGACCGTGTGGTTTCTCCTCTCTAGAGACAAAGGAATATAATTTTTGGTAGTTGTTAGGCTTGCTACGGAATCAAACCCAGTATAACTATGAACTATTTCATCGATTTCCAGGAGAGTGAAGTGCAAGCCAAGGTGATGCGGGGTTTTGACCCCGCCCCCCCCAGCCAATTCCCTGGCCCTCACCTGTCTCAGCTTGCTCTAAAGTAGAGCTAATCCTGCTGGAGCTATATTATAGCTCTTCTTCAAAGAATATTTGTAGAATAGGTGCTCATTTGAAGTTCGGAGTACAGACAATCATTTCTTTTCACAGTCCCCTGGCTATTTTTGCCTAGGCTTAAGAAATTTTCTGCCACATCACAATGCAAGTTTTGCTACTGCCCAAACCTAGCTCCCCAGCCTCCACTGTTTTCCCCCAGTGGTAGGATGCTGAAGAGGGTAAAAATCCATCCTCTGTTGTGTTGAGACCAAGCTCTACTTCATCCTTTCACTATTTGGGAATGATTGAGGCAGAGAAAACATTGTGAGATAAATTGAGAGGTATCTGGACTTCTTTTTTGGAAGTCTAAGAGCAGGACATTGGCAGCATTGAGAATGAATTGTCACCCTCTAATATCCATTGATGTTTTTAGTGTTTGGTGGCAGAGAAGAAATAAGTTGGAAAACAGTGGGCAAGGAATTTGTAGCCTGTAGCCACAGTTGTATTTGAAGCTAACCAGAGAGAACTCTGGAACAGGGAGGAGGTAGAAATCCCCTTTTACTCCTTTTTTCTAGGCAGAACTTGAGACATATTTTACATGAAAGCTGGCAATGAAATACTTATGTTCCTGGTCTGGTCTTGGAAGACATTCCTATGGTCTCTTCAAGAGGGGGAGGAGAAGGTAAACAATCAATCAGTCAGGAGATAGGCATTGTCCTGGATTCCTGTCCTCTGAGCCAGCATCCAGATAGCATTTATGGCTGGACAATCCCAAGGAGCCTGTCATATGTTCATACCATTGAATGAGTGCTCAATGCATGTGCAAGGTGGGAGTGAATAAAAAGGAAGAGATCTTTCTGGAGCTGCCAGTGTAGAGAGTTGATTGGATTGTTCTAGAGGGGTAAGGGCCCTGGGCCTTTTGGTGTTTTCCCACCAGCCAAGCAATGTGTGTTGGTGCTTACGCATGGACATGGAAATGGGACCAGTACACACACTAGATTATTTTTATGGTTGGGCACACATTCAGCAGGTACAGTGAGCCAGTTTATCAAAACTGCAGACCATAGCCACCAATGGACCTGAAATTAACATAGTGGGGCAGAACCAGCAATAAAATATATAAGAGTCTTAGTCTGAGACTATTAGTGAGGGTATTCTTCCCTGATCCCTCACACCTGAGCTGGGGATTGAATTCAAGATATGGTAGGTAAGTGCTCTACCACTGAGCTATATTCCCAGCTTTTTTTTTTTTTTTTTTAAATAGGATCTTTCTATGTAGCTTGGGCTGACCTCATACTCACTGTATAGCCGAGGCTAGCCTCAGACCTCAAACTCACAGTGATCTTCCTGGCTTGGCCCCTCAAATGCTGGGATTACAGGCATGCAACACCACACTTGGCTCCCCAGTCTTTTTATTTTTTATTTTGAGACAATTTGAGATAGGGTCAAACTAAGTTGCCCAGGCTAGCCTCAAACTTTGGATTCTCCTGTGTCAAACTTTTCAGTGGGTAGAATTATAGGTTAAGAATTACACTCCACTAGGATAGAGTTTTTGACAAACCTTTGTTTGATGTGTGCTTACATGTGTGTTGTTTATGGACTGTGATGTAAGATAGACTTCTTAAAGTAAAAAAGTTGGCAAACCACTTTGGTAAGTTATATCAGCACATAACAGTACAAATAAACCTCAAACTCACTTTTATTAGGTATTTCCACTAACTGCCTTTGATTATAATAAACATCAGAAAGTGACTGTAGTTAACTTAGGCAGAAGTTCAAACTGAGGGAGCCTGGGGCCTGATGAGGTGGAGGGAATGAACAGAGGCTTTCTAATTCTGAAGGATTTTTTTTTTTTTTTTTTTTTTTTTGGGCTCGGAATGCTTTAAGGGCAGGTCTAGTAAGG